TTTTTGAGACAAGGTCCTGCTATGCAGTTCAGACTGGCCTTGAACTCACTTTGTAGCCCAGCCTGGTGTCAAACACACAACGATCCTCCTGCCTCAGCCTCCTGAGTGCTGGGATTACAGGCTTGCCACCATGCCCAACCTGTGTATTCATTTTAGATTCCCATTTTTGGATTGGATCTTTAAATTTGAGGGGTCTGATTTTTTTTAATTCTTTATATATTCTAGGTTGTAGTCCTTTAAAGAACAGCTCACAAGAATTTTTTTCTCACATTGTGAGTTGTCTCTTCACTCTGTTGGTGGTTTCTTTTACTGTGCAAGAGCTTTTTAATAAGATGATACCCCAGTTGTTGATTTTTTGTGACAGTTCCTATGTGATCAGAATTTTATTCATAACATCTTTGCCTACACCAGTGTCTTCAAGAGTTCTACCTATTCTATCTTCCATAAGACTTAGTGTTTCTGTTTTAATATTTAGATCTTTGATCCATTTCAATTTTAGTTTAGTGCATGGTGAAAGATATGAGTCCAATTTTAATCTTCAACACATGCAGAGCCAGTTTTTCCAGCACCATTTATTAAAGAGGCTATCTTTTTTCAAGTGAAGGTGTTGGGCTCCTTTGTCAAAGTAAGGTGGAAAAAAAAAAAAATAAGGTGGGTGAGTATCTTTGGAACTGTTTCTGCATCTTCTAATCTGTTCCACTGATCCTTAGGTCTGTTTTTTGGCCAGTACCACATTGTTTTTATCACAGTAGTTATGTAGTATAATTTCAAGTCAGGGATTGACTCCTGCTTTGTGTTTGTTGCCCAGAATTGCCTTTGCTATCTAGGTCTCTTGTAGTTCCAAATGAATTTTATGATTCTTTTCTCTAATTCTGTGAAGTGGGCTGTTGGTATTTTGATCAGAATTGTATTAAATCTGTGTAATAATTTTGGAAGTATGGCCATTTTCACTATATTGGTTCTCCTTACCCAAGAATGAGGGATATCTTTCCATTTTCTGATATTCTTTTCAATCTCCTTTTTCAGAGTATTGTAGTTTCCAATATAAAAGTCTTCTAATTCTGTTAGATTGATTCCTAGGTATTTCATTTTTTTGGATGCTATTGTGAAAAGTGTTGTTTCCCTAATTTCTCTCTCAGTGAGTTTGTTATTCATGTACAGGAAGGCTATTAAATTTTGAGTGTTGACCTTGTATACAGCTGTGCTACTGAATTTGGTTATTAAATCTAGAAGTCTTTTGGTGGTTTGGGGGGTCTTCTATGTAGACCATGATGTCATCCACAAATAACAATAATTTAACTTCTTCCTTTCCTATCCTTATTCCTTTTATTTTCCTCTCTTGTCTAATTGCTCTGGCTAATGTTTCCAGAACAGTATTGAACAGGAGTGGTCATAATGGACATCCTTGTCTTGTTCTGATTTTAAAGTGAAAGCTTTCAGTTTTTGACTATTTGTATGATATCAGCTGTTGGTTTGTCACAGAAAGATTTTATCAGATTCAGATAAAGACCATCTATTCCAATTTTCTGTAGGATTTTTACCATGAATAGTTGTTGGACTTTGCAAATACTTTTTCTGCCTCAACTGAGATGACCATATGGCTTTTGTCCTTGGCTCTGTTAAAATGGTGTATTACATGTACTGATTTGTGTATGTTGAATCATCCCTGCATCCCTGGGATGAATCCTACTTGGTCATGTTGTGTAAACTTCTTGGTGATTTGCTACATTCTGTTTGTCAGTATCTTGAGGATTTTTGCATCTGTATTCATTAGGGAGATTGGCCTGTAGTTCTCTTTCTTAGTTGGGTCCTTCTCTGGTTGTGGTATCAGGGTAATGCTTGCTTCTAGGGATGAATTTGGTAATATTGCTTCCCTTTTAATTTCATGAAAGTTTGAGAAGTAGCAGCATTAAGTCTCTCTAAATTCTTCTAGAGTTCAGCAGTGAATCCATCAAGGCCTGGGCTTTTCTTTGTTGGTAGGTTTTTAATTACATCTTCAACTTCATTGACTGATAGTGGTTTATTAGCTATGGTAATTCATATGTATCTAGGAATATGTCCATTTCTTCTGCATTTTCCATCTTCTTTTTTTTTTTTTTTTCTTTTCCTTCCGGTACCAGGAATTGAACACATGACCTTGCACTTGCCAGGCAGGCATTTTGCCGCTGAGCTAAATCCCCAGGCCCTGCATTTTCCATCTTACTAGAATACAAGTTCTTGAAGTAGGTATAGATGATTGTCTTAGTTACTTTTCTCTCATTGCTAAGACAAAATACTTAACACCCAAAGTTCTCTCTCTTTTCTTTTTTGGTGGGGGGCTCCTGAAAATTGAACTCAGGACCTTGTGCTTGCCGGGCAGGTGTTTGTGCCACTGAGCTATATCCCCAGCCCCTAGACAACCAAAGTTAAGGAAGAAAAATGTTTATTTAGCTTACAGTTTGTGGAGGTTTCAGTCTGTAATCAGCCAGCTCCAAGGCAGGGTAGCATGGCACAGGGGCAACAGTTCAAGGCTGCAGAAGACAACAAAAGTAGCAAAAGCAAAAAGAAGGGAACAAGCCTCTTTTCCTCCCTTATGTTGTAAGCAGGCTACCCCCCTCTGCAGGGCAGGTGTAGTACGGACACCATCTCCATGCCCTCCTCTTGCACAGGATGAGGATGTTTATAAGGTGAGGACCTTGGCCCCCTGCTGAGTCACTTAGTTAAACTTGCAAACTTCTCAAGTTGACACAGTGTATTAACCATTATAATAATCTTCTGTATTTCTGCAGGATCTGCTGTGACTTCACCCTTTTCATTCCTAATTGCATGGATTTGAGTTTTTTCTTTCCCTCTTTGTAAGATTGGCTAAGGGTTTGTTGATTCAATTTAATTTTTCAAAGAACTAATTCTTCAATTCATTGATTGTTTGTATTGTTTTCTTAATCTCCTTTGCATTAATTTCTGCTCTGATCTTTATAATTTCCTTCCTTGTAAGACGTTTCTGCTTGACTTGCTCTTCTTTTTCTAGGTGCTTGAGGTTAAACATTAAGTTGTTTATTTGAGCTCACTCTGTTTTCCTGATATGGGTATTCACCACTATAAATTTTCCTTGTAGAACTGCTTTCATTGTGTCCCATAAATTCTGGTCTATTGTATTGGCATTATCATTTAATTGTAGAAACTGTTTAATTTCTTCTTTAGTTTCATCTGTGACCCATTGGTTATTGAAGAGGGTATTATTTAATTTCTGTGTGTTTATGAAGTTTTGTGGTTTCTTTTGCTACTGATTTCCAATTTTATTGTACTATGGTCTGATAATATGTATGGGATAGTTTTAATTGCTTTGCATTTACTTAAGCATGTTCCATGAGCTAGTATGTGGTCTATTTTGGACAATGCCCTATGTACAGCTGAGAAGAATGTGTATTCTGATGTTGTGGGCTGGAACACTCTATAGACATGTATTAAATTCATTTGTTCAAAAGTTTGGTTCATTTCAGATGTTTCCCTGTTGATTTTTTTTGTCTAGTTGATCTGTCTGTTTGTGACAAAGGGGTATTGAGGTGCCCCATTACAATTTTATTAGTATTTGTTTTTTATGTCCATTAATATTTGTTTTATATACTTGGGTGCACTGGTATTTGGTGCATATATATTTTTAGTTGTTATCTTTTCCTCTTGGACCATTTGTTCCCTTTACAAGAATGTAGTGACCTTTGTCTCTTTTAATCAGTCTTGGATTGAAATCCACTTTGTCTGCAAGTAGAATAGCTACCCCTGATTTTTTATGGGTTTCTGTCACATAGAGTATTGTTTTCCATTCTTTGACTTTCAGTCTATTAATTTCTTTTTTAGTTAAATGTGTTTCTTGTATGCAGCATAGTGTTGGATCTTCTTTCTTTATCCATTCTGCCTGTCTATTTCTTTTGATTGGTGAACTGAGACCATTAACATTGGTGGTTATAACTGACATGTATTGACTTATCCTTGTCATGTTATTTTCCCGTTGTTGGGTCCCCCTTTTCCCTGCTTTCGTTTAATTGTTTGCCTTGCCCTGTGGATTCCTTCTGTTGGGGTTCATAGATTTGTGGTCCTTGTTATCTCTTTCTAGAATGTCTTTCAGAACATTTTGTAATGCTGGTTTGTTGTTCATGAATTTCCTCAAGTGTTCATTGTCATGGAAGTATCTGACTTCTCCATCAATTTTGAAAGATAGTCTTGTGGGGCACATCAATCTGAGTTGGAGGTTGTTTTCTTTTAGAGATTGAAATACCTTACTCTAACTTCTTGATCTGAGGGTTTGTGTTGAGAAGTCTACTGTAATTTTGATGGGCTTTCCTTTATAGGTGATTTGTTTCTTTTCTCAGTTTTTAATCTTCTGTTCTTGTGTTGCATTTCTAGAATCTTGATTATTTTATGTCTTGCTTTAGATTTTCTTATCATGGCTAATTGGGGTTCTATATTCCTTATTTATGTGTATGTCAAATTCTTTTTTACTGTTTGGGAAGTTTTCTGCCATGACTTCTGTGAATAGGTATTTTATGTCATTTGTTCTGTCTCCTGCTTTTTCGTTGACTCTGATAAATTTTGTGTTATTCTTCTTTGCATCATCTAGCAGCTGTTGCATTGACTTTTTGCTATTTATAAGAAATATTTCTTTTCATGATCACCAACTGCAATCCTATCTTCTATATCCGATATTCTGTCCTTACATTCACACATTTTTCTGCATATACTTTCAATGGAATTTTTAATCTCCTGGATATCTATTTGAATCTATTTCATGGATTCCATTTTTTTCCTATGTTGGGCATTCATTTTCCTAAGCTCCTCTATTTTTTTATTTGTATCTGCTCCAGCATCACTAACTATGTCTTTCATTATGGTCACCATCTCGACAGTTATCTGAGAAGTTATTTCTGATTTGATTTTTTTCCAGAGCCTATTTATCTGCTTTGTTACTTCTACTCTTATTACTTCAGAGAGTCCAGGTGGGTGGCTTTTGAATTGTTCCACCTCATTGCCCCCTGGGTTTGCCTTTGGTGAGCTGGAAGTCTAGGGTTGCATTTTACCTGAGCGTCTTCTCATTTTCTATTTTTTCTAGTTTAATTCCTAGGTTCATGCTTGCTTATGGTAGTAGCTTTATTGCTAGTATTTAGAACCCTTAGGAAATGACTACTTCTCAGTGATGTCTTCCAGGTGTGGCTGTCTTTTGGGTTTTGAGTCTGTTGCAAGATCCTGCCTCTTCAATCTATTGGAGACAAGAAGTTGTTGCCTATTTGGCCTAGCCTCTGGTTCTTTGGCACTGGCCTATCATATTGTTTATGATCCTTAGGCAATCTCAGTCTTGATATACCAGGAAGAACACTGATTAGAACTATGTCACTTTGGCTAAAGTAGTACAATCAGCAATAACAAGAGCATCAAACAGAGCCTAAAAAATGACAAACTATGGTAACTTAATTTGCCACCTTCAACCATATGAACTAGATTTGTGGTTATATAACAAAATCTAAAACAAACCAGAGAATTGTACACAGTAACTATGCCCTCAATATGGCAATTTTACCCTCAGTGGAGAAATTTAAAAGGGGTTGGAGGGAAAACAGAGAAATAGAAGAAGAGGAAGAGATTAGGAGCAAGGCTGTAGGACAAAGGAAGATTATGCAAACTTTGGGAAACTAGTGAAGAAGACAGGAGTGAAAGAAAGAACAAAAGCAGAACAAAAACAAAAAAATCTAGAAATAATGTTCATACTTATATAAAAACAAGAACAAATAATCAAGAAAAAAGAAAGAACAAAGCAAAAGAAGGAAAAAAAGTCCACTTCAAAGTATGGACCAAGGGGCTGGGGATTTAGCTCAGCGGCAAAGCGCCTGCCTGGCAAGTGCGAGGTCGTGAATTCGGTTCCCGGTACTGGAGAAAAAACCAAAAAAAAAAAAAAAAGAAAGAAAGCAAAGTATGGACCAAATGGGCAGACAGAGCCCAGATCCACAATGATTAATCCCAGCAAGCCTACACTTTTAGTTCCACTGAAGTTCAGGCTTGTTTTTGGCTGTGAGGCTGGACCCTGATTTGTTCAGCCTGCAACACTCCATGTACCTTCTGCCAGCTTGAACCCAGGTCCTTGACCTCCTGCTGATTTGAACTCAGTTCGACCTCACCCTGACACTAGGAGCCACTAGATGAAGCCAGCCCACAGCTGCTCTGAGTACCAAGCTCAGCTGACCCTTCTCCAAGATGGCTACAGGCCAAATGCCCTCTCCTGGGAGATATCTGAACCCAAATAACTCACCAGTCACTGCAGTCCACTGTGTCCACTGCTGCATCCATGAGCTGTCCATTGGCTCATTTCTCTGTGGAGGCCTCTGGGGTCACCAGTAGTCACTGTTCTTCTGCAGGTTTGAGGCACCCCTCCCACACAGTGAGTCAGGGCTCAAGGAGAAAGCACTGCCTGCTGCCTCCTTCTACATTGAGGTATTTCTCTTCACTCTCCCTGTGGGGCTTCATTTCTTACTTCAGATCCTTGCTAGGTCCCAGGGACCCCTTCCCTCCTTCTTCTCTTCCTTGTGGTATCATATTCCAGCATCTGGACACCATATCTCAGAGAGAAAATGCATATATTTCAAAATCAGAAAATATTCAAAATCCAAAACACTTCTGGTTCTAAGCATTTCAGATGACGGATGTGTGACCTGTTTGTCCAAATGACTGTTCAGGTAGGGAGAGGGTTTGGGGAGCAGGGAGGATTTGGGAATCTCTGAATGATCCTTTCATCTACCATATTCCCTCTGCGTCCTGTGCTGCACCTTAGAAAGAACTCAGGGTCCTGTACTTCTGAAAACTTCCATTCGTCTGAAATGTTTGCATCTTTTCCTGCCTATCTAATTCAAAAAACCCTCCAAGCAAATTGTGTGCTGTTGGGAGGGACAGTATTGGATACAGTCCTGGGACCAGATCTATTTTTGAGGTTTGCTTTTTTAAGCCCTTGGTGAGCTTACCTTTGTGTAGCTCGTAACACTGGCAGAACTAAGAAAAGAAAATCTTTGTGGCCTCAGAGGTGAACTGAGGAGGGGGCCTTAGTTTTAAACTTCACAAGGCTACAAAGCCGCAACCTCAAGCCAGATTCTCAGGAATTTCTGACTGTGTCTACAGGTCTTCCCTGGAGAGTCTTCCCCTACCACAGGTGAAATGGAGCTATTGTTTTTCTTTTTGGGATGCTGGAAATTGAACCCAGGGCCTCACATATGCTAAGCATGTACTACTCCACTGAGCTACACAGTTAGCCAAGAAATAAAACTTTTCAATAGCAATGCTACTGAAGACACTTGATTCAAATAGAATAAGGCAGTTTCTCAACAGGAATAGGGCAGTTCCTAAGAACTGCCCTTCAGAATGATATACATCATTACCATGCATATTCCCGCTGACCCGGGCTCTGGGGCTGGCACTCCGGATCCACACCCCAGGTAATTCCATCCTACAGTGCAGTTTCAAGGTTACTGAAAAGGATGTGCACAGATCCCATTTCCTTTGTCCCTAATTGTTCTCCCCCAGGCAAGTCAAAGGACTCAAAGGCTGAAAAGAAATCAGAGCTAATTCCCAAAGGAAGGAATCCAGGAGCCAAGAGGAAAAAGACACAGAAGGAAGTGAACTTGGAGATGGCAGCAGAGCAGAGTGGGCCCGACAGCACCAGTTCCAAGGAAGCAGAGAGTGCCTCAAGTGGGGGCTTGTTCTCTGTGTACCCTAACACAGAGGGGCCTTGGCCTCCTCCCACGGCCTATGCTCAGGAGAGCCAGGTTTCCATAGACATGAGATCATCACCCATCCAGCCCGCAGCTGTCACTGGCAGCGGGGAAGCTGAAGAAGAGAGGCGTCCTGACGCCCCTTCCCAGGTAAGCTCTGCTGCTGCCTCCTGCTGCCTGTGACTGCAGTCCTGGGGACTCTGCCCCTCGTGGGCTGTAGCTCCTGAAAGGCCTCTGCTAGGTAGTACTTGTGCTGTTCTGTGCCTTGGACCGTAGCTCTGAACTGGACCTAATCAAAGACAGGGAGGCAATGCCCCTCTTACGTGAGGCTTTCTGCGAGCCTCAGACGTGGCAGGAGGCAGGATGCAGCAGCCACCTGTGAGCCGTGCAGGGCTCAACACCAGGAAAGGTGGGTGCTCCCTCAGCCTGGCCTGGAGCTCACCCGACACTCACCTCCCAAAGGTCTTTCCAAAGACTCACTTTGTAGCCCATGCTGGTTTCGAACTCACAATGATCCTCCTGCCTCAGCCTCCTGAGTGCTGGGATTACCAGCATGCACCACTACGCCCAGCTTTTTTTTAATTATTCCTTTTGAGACAAGGTTTCACTATGCAGTTCAGGCTGGCTTTGAACTCACTATGTAGCCCAGGCTGGCCTCAAACTCAAGGCAATCCTCCTGCCTCACCCTCCCAAGTGCTGAGATCACAGGTATGTGCTACCACACCTGGCTGGCTGAGTATTGTTTCCTCTTCACAGCCCCACTTGAGATCTAGGCAGGACTGGCCTCAGTTCAAGCACCCAGTTAAGCATCATTTGTCAGAAATCACACAGCTAGAGTGGTTGAGGGCCTTTAACTCCAACAGTGTTCTTGTCACTATTTTAACTGTTCATTTTATAATGCAGGATAGTTCAAAAAGATTTCAAGATTTTTCCTTTATAGTTCTGGACCCATCTCCTAAGTTGTCTGGAATTTTGCTCTGAGCAACAGGTAAACATTTTAATCTGTAGGCAAAACTTTTCTGAGCCAGCTGGATCCCAGAAGTTCTTACATCTATTGTCAGTTCACAGGATTATGCTGTCTCTGCAAAGGCAAGAAGTTTCACTGCAGGTTGGGTGCAGAGTTCTCAAGGAAGAATCAGTTCTCAAGGTTCCCCTCTCACAGGCATATATTTATGAGTGAAGAGGAGGCACTAGAAGAAAAAGAAAGCTCTAATAACACTAAAAGAAAAATTTTTGTTACCTGGGCTTGGTGGTGCAAGCCTGTAATCCCAGCACTCAGGAGGCTGAGGCAGGAGGGTCAGCTTCAGTTCAAGCCCAGCCTGAACTACATACTGAGACCTTGTCTCAAAAAAAGCGGGGGAAAGGTGGGTTTTATGAGATTTAATGTGAGTCTGACCCCTTTTACCAAGATCACCTTTGGTCAAATAGCCTCTATCTATACCCTTAGCTTCCAGCTCTGGCTCCAAGTTCCATGTTAGAAGCTCTTTCTTTTCCTCGTTTTCATTTTTATTGTTTTGTTTTTGTGGTACTGGGGATTGAGCCCAAGGCCTTCACATGCAAGCCAGGCACTCTACCACTGCACTACATAGCTAGCCTTTTTTATTTTATTTTGAGACAGGGCTTCACTAAGTTACCCAAGCTGGTCTCAAACTTATGCTCCTCCTGCCTCAGCTTCCCCAGCAGCTGGAAGTACAAGCATGTTCCACCTGCCTGGCTAGACATACAGGTTTTTATTTCACTTATCTTGGTGGAGCCCTGGCAAATCTAACATCCTGCTAAGGTTGAGAACTCCAGAGTTTATGATGTACTAGACACTACGGTGGCAGCAGAGTAAATTTGAGTGAATCCTCGTAAGAGCCACATGCCAAAGGCAATGTCAGGAAAATTAAGTTGTAATTCCACGAACCCAAAGCAAGTGACAGTCTCCTGAATCCAGCAGTTGGCCCCCAACACAACTTGGCAGTGGCAGAGCTTGATACCTGCTGTACGACCCCCTGCCGCCCTGGCCCTGAGCACTCTCTGGTGTCTCAGGCCCTCCTCAGGGCACAGGAGAAGGCGGCACGGGACAGGCTGCGCGCACAGAAGGCCGAGATGAGGCTGCGAGAGGTGGAGAGGAAGAGGAGGGAGCAGGAGGAGCAGAGCCGCCGCCAGCAGGAGCAGCTGGAGATTGAGAAGAAGATGGAGGAGGAGCTGGAGCTGGAGCAGCAGAGGAGTGAGGAGGAGATACGGTGGGTCCACAGCTGGAAGGAGGGGGACAGGAAAGGCCAAGGGCATGGTGGAGGCCGCGAGCCTGAAGGAAAGCCTCCAGGCTCGCTTGCCTTACACTGTTTCCCAGGACAGTGGCCTGGTTATTCCGTTCCTCAGCACAGACGCGCCCCGGCAGTTCTGGGGAAGGCTTGGGAGTCGGTCCAGCCACATCTGCTGAGTCCCTGCCACCCTGCACGGCAGCAGGCCTCTGAGGCCTCGACTCTCATTCCCACAGCAGGTGTTTCAGCGAAGCTCTGAGACATCAGGCCTCTCCCCAGGCCCAGAGCTTCATACTGAAATCTCAGTTTCCTGTTCCAGAGCTCTTGTGTTCTTGCCTCTGCTCTCAGTCTCGGCTTCCTTAGAAACATGGTATCCCCTCGGGAGAGAGCACACTGCCTGCTGACTTGCCCAGACTTCTCTGCCATCCCCATGACTGTCTCGTGATTTCCCAGCTTGAGGAAACAGAGACTTGAAGAAGAACGACAGCAGCAGGAGGCAGCAGAGAGGAAGCAGCGGCTTCAGTGGCGAGCGGCCCAGGAGAGAGCCCGGCAGCAGCAAGAGGAGCTCCGCAGGACACTACAAGAAGGACAGCGGAAAAAGGAGCAGGAGGAAGCCGAGAGGGCTGGTGAGGAAGGGTCTCAGCTCTCTGCATTGTTCTTCTATTTGGGGCAGAACTGTTTTTGTCCCTCTGTGGGTGTGCATGTGTTCCTAGGCTAGGCACGAGTGCATGAAGCTCCCTATACATAAGCCATGTCTTCCAAAGTGATTCTTATGTGTGACTACAGTGATCTGACCTAGATGTCAGACTCCAAAAGGAAAGACTCCCCATAGAGGCAGCGTCAGGGCCCTGCTCCCCATTTGGTAATCTGCTGATGGACCCTGCCCCTCTGACTTCTAGCACGGCCCAGGAGCTACCGAAATTGGACACAGGGCCCTACTCCTTGCTTCCTGCCCCAGGAACCAGAGACACACAAACACCTGCAGGTTGATGCTGAGCAGCTTTCTGGGAAGAGATAGGGACTTTAGTGGGTGACCTGTGGCCACTTCCTGGTTAAGACACACCAAGTTTCTCTCACCCTGATCTGACCGCTTTTCCAGCAGAGCTGCATTCCACCCCATGAATGAGCAAACAAATGCATGCATGCAGCAGGCTCTGAGGAAATCTTTCCTAGGGCTTTGTATTAATTTCACAGTGCACTGCATAAAGAAGGTGCTTGATAAAGGACTCAGATTAGTACATTAACCCCCAGGTAACCACACAGAGGGCCTGGCAGCCCAGCAAACTGCAGAATTCCTGAGAATCAGAATTCCCTAAGAACCACAGGTCTGAGAGCTGGATCAGAATACGGATTTCCCCAGCAGTGTCTCTTGCTGAGCTTCCCACTTTCCATCCTGCAGAGGCAGAGAAGCAAAGGCAGAAGGAACTGGAAATGCAGTTAGCAGAGGAACACAAACGCCTGATGGAAATGGCGGAAGAGGAGCGACTGGAGTACCAGCGGCAGAGACAGGAGGCAGAAGAGAAGGCTCTGCTGGAGGCTGAGGAGAGGAGGCGACAGGAAGAGGAAGCAGCCAAGATGGCTCTGGAGGATGCCATGAAGCAAGCCCAGGAGCAAGCCAGGTATTGCCTACGTGGGCAGTCACTGAGAAGGCAGCCAGCCTCGCACTGCCTCTGAGCGAGCACTTTCCCCATGCTCCTCCCCATAGCACACGGCAGTTCAGAAGACTAAAACACGAGTGAAATATGTGTGAAACACAGCAGCAAATATCACAGAATTCCCTCATGGCTTGTAGAATTTATACTAAAGCTGGAAGGGAGATTAGAGACCACTTCTCTCAATCCTCTGGTTTACGGGTGAGAAGACTCCCAGCACTGGGAATGTAGCTTGGTGGTAGAGCACTTGTCTCACGTGTGTAAGACCCTGGGTTCCATCTCTACGCAAGCGACGAGAGAGAAAGGGACCCCCAAAGAAAGGAAAGATGCTGGTCAGGGATGATCTGTCAGTTGGGGGCAATGCCAGGACCCAATCTAAGCCTCTTGACTCTGGATTCACAGCCTTCCTCGGTGTTTACCAAAGGCCTGATTAAAATCAGACTCAGGGAACTTAGAAGGGAGCCAGGCAAGCAACATCTCTTCTCCCAGTGATAGTTACATTCTTGGGAGAAAGACTCCAACCAAATAAAAATATGGGTTTTTCTTAGCTAGCAACAAATGCGATGCAGAAAATTTAAAAAGATGTGACAGGCGTGCAGGCGGCTTATTTTAGACTGGCTGGCAAGGCAAGACCTCTCAGAGAGGTCAGCTAAGGTGAGACCTGAAGGACAAGGAGTTAGCCACACAACCATCTGGGAGAGAAATATTCCAGCCAGTAAACCTAAGTGCAAAGGTCTGAAGAAAAAGATGAGACTGACATGCTGGAAGAATTAAAAAAAAAAAAAAAAAAAAAAGCATGGCGGGAATGAAGTCAACCAGGGGCAAAGAATATTCCAGATGGAGTCAAAGAGGTGGGCTGAGCCAAGACCTAAGGAGGGCCTTGTCAGAAGCAGCAGCACAAAATCAAAGTCACCAGGACCTGAGGGCCTCTCCCTTCATTTGCCCACAAGAGTAAGGGTCTCTGCATCTCTCTGATGGTAGGATGTCGTAAGTAGTGTGGTTTCAATAGACTCTAAAAAGCAGGTCCTCTGTAGTTGCTGTAAAGCAATCTCAGTGAAAGCAATCATCCCTTTAGACTAAAAATTGAAGGGTAGCAGCATAACCCCGAAACACTGCTTGATTCCAACCTTAACTATAAACACTTTTCCCCTTGAAAAGTGCTTCCCTCAACTTAAGCTCAATCTGAGGCAACCCAACAACCTATTCTAAGGGTTTTTCACCAACCCTGAGCTGCTCCTCCTCTGGATTTTCTTCAGCTGTTATTTGAATTACAAAATGAATCAGGTAAACCCTGACTCCACTTCAAAATTACGGACTCCAGGTATCACAGCAGCGGGGTTGGGTTCATAGAAGCAGTAATGAGACCAAAGCAAGTTATGGGAACCCTCGTTTTCCAAGAAAGGTGACAGTCATGGAACAGGAAACTGAGTATCAATTTTGTAAGACTAGTCCAAGTAGCTGAAAGCAAAAAATCAAGGTACTAAAGGTGGGGTAAAGTCTCACCACCAAGAGCAGACACCAGCCGGTGTTACTCCATTGTCACTTGTGTGACACTGGCTCAGCGACCTTAGCTGCTCTGGTCTCTGTCCTCATCTCCAAAGCAAAGGAGTCCCCACCAGCACTACAAGTTTAAGAACTGAATTATACCTTTCTTTCTATTCTTCTACAGACTCATGATATCCTAACTATCATATGTAGAGTTAATAAGTGAACAAAGTATAATCATCCACTGAATTCCAATATTAACTGCCCCAAGTCTAACTGATGATTATTCAAATCCAAAGCTCTAGCAATTCACAAGCACCATTTCCAGAGAGCTCAGTTACTGAAAATGGGGGTGGGATTGTCTTCTTAGGCAAAAAGCTGCTTTGGAGAAACATCTTCATTTCCAACAAGAACTCCGTAAGGAAGCCTGGGGCCTGCAGTGGACACAAAACATTTCCAGACCATGGGTTTATTCCTATTTCCAGTTCCTACAAATGCCCAGGCCATGAGGTAGAAGAAAGCAAAAAGTAAGTTGAGAGCGACGACAGAAAGAGAAATTCTCTTTCATAACGAAATTCCACCCTGAGCCCAGTTAGTTTTGTGTCATCTGGTTCACATCACACCACACCTAAGATTTTCTCTACTCTGGAACTGCCATTACCACTGCCCCCTCCACAGCTGTTCGACCCAATTAACCTCTTCACCTATTTAAATCCTTTATGTTCTTTAAAACCACATAAATGCAGAAATTCTGGTGCCTAAAGCAGCCCATAATTACATAATTTCAGTCTGAAACACTAACAGTCTTAGGATACTCGACGTATTTCATTTCAATGTGTTTGAAAGAGTAGCTGGTAAACAGAAATACTGTAATGCAAATAATTCTGCATTACCTAAGAGAAGCTAATTCCTATTTTCATATATTAAGAAACCCCTTGAGGCTGGGCATGGTGGTGCACACCTGTAATCCCAGCACTTGGGAGACTGACACAGGCAGATAACAAGTTTGAGCCAGCCTGGGCTACTTAATGAGACTGTCTCAAATGCACAAACACACACGCGTGCGCGCGCACACACAAAATCCCTTTATAAGGCAAAACCAGGCATTTCAGTCTAAGAATCTAAAACTATGTTTAGGACAAGGTTATGTTTTTAACTACTTGATAAATGTTCCTTTGCACAAAATGAGGCAATCTCACATCCTCATAGTACAGATCCTAGAACAGCACTGTGGGTAAGGGAGCCATCAGCCTTGTGCAGCTATTAATAAAACATTCTTGCCAGGCGTGGTGGCACACACCTGTAAACCCAGCACTGGGGAGGCTGAGGCAGGAGGATCACTGCAAGTTCTAGGCCAGCCTGGGCTACAAAGTGAGCTCCAGGCCAGTCTGAATTGCATAGCGAAACCGTCTTAAAAAAGACCAAAAAAAAAAAAAAGAAGTCTTCAGTACCACTAAGCACATTTGAAGTTCTTCAGTCCCACTAAGCACATTTAAAGCGCTCAATGGCCACGTGTATATAAAACATTTCCACCACCATAAAGTTCCAGTATTTTCAAACCCTGAAAATTAACAAATTTTGAGATTTTGCTAACTGTGCCTTAACCAACAAAACTTTTAAAAGTCACACACACTATCAGAAGTCTTATCTTTTAATGTCATTAATCTTGTTTGGTTTTTGTTTTTGAGATAGGGTCTCACTCTGTAGTTCAGGCAGGCCTTGAACTCACTGCAAGCCTCTTGCCTCAGCCTCCTGAATGCTGGGTATTAATGTCTTTTTAATACTGAATTAAACATCCCTTCTAAAAAAGCACCACAGAATGATAATTAAAGGAGACAGAAGAGAAATAAGATGTATATAAAGAGGTGTTGAAGTGAGCAATCATCTGAACCTAAACTTACCCACAAATTTTCCTTGGCCCTACTCTATGCTCCATTGTTCACAATGAAAAAAGACTTGTATATAATTCCCTCCAGTTTCTCACTAATGCTCATGAGGTATGTGCCTGCATAGGAATTACATCTCCACAACCCAGAAATGAGTTTAATTTGGATTCTATATTGCTATTACTGGACTTGCTTAGATTTGATACTTACCTCAACTACTTATTTTATGTAAAATACAAAAACAGCCAACACACTGGATATCATAGTGAATTTCAATGTCATTTGGATTTTTCTCAAGCTTCTCAGCCCAATTCATTCACTCAATTCACTTGAAGTACTTAATCAGGTAAGAGTATCTCAAATAATTCACCAAGAACAGAATGAACCCTTAAGGAAAACATCCCTGTGAGGTAAATGACCATTACTTTCTCCTCCCTTTTTTTACAGATTTAGGATGTTGAGGTCAAGCACCAGATAGGATGGCTGCAGTAAATGTTCCCCAAGGTCCCTCCAAATTAATGCTCTATGTATCTTTTGCTGTGAGGCACCATCTTATCAGCCCTATTACACTCGACGGGTTTTTGTTTTGTTTTGTTTTTGAGATAGGGTCTCACTATGCAGTTCAAGTTGGCCTTGCGCTCACTTTGCAGCCCAGGCTGGTCTTGTACTCTCAAGGATCCTCCTACCTCAGCCTCCCTAAGTGCTAGGATTACAGGCTTGTGCCACCACGCCTGGCATCCACATGTATTTTTGAGACAAGGCTGGCCTTCCCTCTTGGTGATTCTCCTGCCTCAGGCATGCACCACCTCATCCAACCAGATGAGCACATTTTTACGTGAACTATAGCAGAGTGCAGTGCAGTTGGAAGAATCCAATGAGCTAGAAATAAGAAAATTACTTCTCCAGTAGCTAAGCTCCACCTCCCAAAAGCTTAGCCTTTAGATGTTTAGAAATGCAAAATTAACAAAATTAACATGTTCATGAACCCTTGATAGCTCCAACAGCCAATGTGTTACTGAATAATGATAAAAATAAGACCCATAAGGATCTTCTAAAGCTAGGCCTAACTCCTAGTCACTGGTGCATACACTGCTAAACATCATGTGACAGTCCAGACACTGTTCATTCACTCAGAGGCAGAACTCATGCCTAGCACGGTTGAGACCCTGGCCTCAATTCTCAGTCCCGAAAAAGAAATTAATGAAGTTCTGATTTACACAAATAATCTCAGTCTTACTTGGTAAGTGCAGGCCAATCTACCCTTCAGCAAGTGGCCTGAGTAGCAGATACCTGCTGTAAACTTATGAACACACCTGAGACCGGTTTTCTTTGCTCTTCTCAAGTAATCAGATGACACTATCTAGGCAACATGAACTGGGTCACACATATGCACAGTTTTACTGAATTCAGAGATGAGTCAAATAGAAAGACCCTGTGAAAGGAACAAACTAATCTGGTATTTTTAATTAAACACAATGTTTAAAGATTAATGATATATAAGAAAATATAAACCAAATATACCAAACTTAATCAAACAGAAAACATTTTCCAGATTTTTTTTCTGGAGACAGGGTCTTGCAATGTAGTTCAGGCTAGCCTTGGACTTAGTCTTGGACTTACTAAGCTGGCCTCAAACTTGTGGCAATCCTTCTGCCTCAGCCTCCTGAGTGCTGGCATTACAGGTGTGTGCCACCATGTGTGGCCACTGTATAATACTGAAGAAATACTTGTACCATGTCCAAATAATTTCCAGTATTATGTTAGAAAACCTTATTTTAGGCATTTTTCTTTTTCTTCCTATACAATGAAAATAAACACTAATACAGTTTTTACAAATATTGTTTATTTTAATGAAGCTGGTACACACAATGTCCATTTAAAACCCATATCCCAGGCCAAAAGTACAAACAAAATCAAAAGGAGCAGTGTTCTGTTGTATACACGTCTGTATGAGTAACTTTATTATTTTAGAATGAAAATTAACTTTTCTGGGATCTTCTGACAAGATTTTTTTTTTAAATCTTAAAACTGCCCTTCTCTTCAGTGAAGCCACCCTTGCAACTGGTCAATCTCTCACCATGTCTGTCATCTGGACTCCAGAGCTCGTCTTCCTCTTCTTTTGGTCCAGAACCTCAGATTTTAAGCTTCGAGTTAAGGAAAGGTCATTTCTCCACAGTTCGGTTCTCTGAAAAACTTCCACCTCCCACTGCAAGTTATAGTCCAGGAGTGAAGCAATCACAAGCTCGAACTTCAGGGCCAACTGGAAAGCCACAGGAACAATCACACCGGCGGACCTTAGGGTCACAGCCTGGAAATGCACAGTCCTGAAAACTGCAGCCTCTCTGTGCACACAGGTCATTTTTAAAAAGGAGAGGACATGTGAAGGAAGCTGAGGTTTGATCACCAAAAATCAGCACGATGAAAACAAACAATGAATAATGAGCACTAGAATTCAAATTACCAGATGTTTTAAAGAGATGGGGTGCCAGTTTTCATTTACATTTTGAACACATTACAAAAGAACTATTTTTTAAAAATAAAAAAGGATTGAGGGAAAAGAAAAAAAATAAAAAGAGTATCTAAACCGCTGAATGACCCCCTGTTTGTTCCTGATAAACTTCAATCACATCTTCTTCCTCCATTCCCAACTATAAGAAAGAAACATATATTAATAGCAGTAGAAAAAAAACCACTATTTTAAATGAGTTGCAACTATAGAACAAATATTACGAAGTGCAAAAACAAAAAAACCCAGAAGTGACCTATAGTTAATTACACTGCTCTACAATCAAGAATCTCCTGTGGTTTCATCTAAAGAATACACTGTTGCCCAGCACGTACCTGCCCTGGGTTCAATCCCCAGCGCCATAAAACAAACACAGAAAAGCCATGGAGATGTATGTTTCCTGTGTCTATCCACCCATTTCTTTTACTTTCCTGAGTCCATTTCACTTGCAAGTTTATTCTTTATACAAAACAGAAGTTTGTTTTGTTTTGGCAGTGCTGGGGGTTGAACCCAGGGCTTCCCATATATTAGGCAAGTGTTAACAATGGGCCATATTCCTGGCCCTCTTTATTCTTTTTCTTCTTCTTTTTTTTGGTCTTTTTGAGACAGGGTCTCACTATACAGTTTAGGCTGGCCTTGAGCTCACTTTGTAGCCTAGGCCAGTCTCATACTCACAATGATCCTCCCGTCTCAGCCTCCCAAGTGCTGGGATTACAGGCATGCGCCACTATGCCCGGCTTCTTCTTCTTCTTCTTTTTTTAATGTGCTTTATATATACTGAAATAATTCTGTATTTTTTTTCCTGATGACACTATTAACAATGGTGGCTTCTGAGAAGTAGAAATTCTCTGTAAGTATTCAAGGTGTATTTATTTTCCATTTTATACACTTTAGTAGTTTGATACACTCAGCATTCTTTACTTAGAGGAGATAGTTCACACAAGGGCATGGCAACACAAATATCAGGCATCACCCTCACTAAGGTTCATAGAAGACTCAAACTTGATTCTGCTGTGCTGTCAAAGCAAGGTAAGAAGCAAGGTAAACACAAAACTAGCACTGTTTCCAATAAAAACTGTAAAAGATCACAAAGATAGAAAAATAAAATTTAAAAGGAAGATCAAAAATTAGTTATCTCCAAAGAGAAAAATTTTATTTTATAGGTGATATCTTTGTGGAGAATTATAAAATATGAAATTAAAATTTTTTGTGTGGCTTTCTGAGACAGTGTTTCACTATGTAGTCCAGTCCAGGGTAGCCTTACACCTCAGCCTCCCCAGTGCTAGGATTACAGGCATGCAACACCACTCTCAGCAAAAATATATTAAGAAATCTAAAACTCACACTTTTGTGGATTTATGATTTTAAGTAATCATCAGACTGGCTCCAGTACTGAAACAATCTTGGTTGTGATACATACATAAATATTAAATAACTAAGCTTTTAATCGTGTATATATACCATGACAAATGCTAGAAGGAATAAAATTCCAAAGTACGTATAAGGAACTTCCCAATCAGGAAGGAAGTTACAAGCTGGAAGAAGTACATTAGCAAAGGTGAGTAAACAAGTGTGTCACTGGTGTGGTTTATTTTTGTTGTTGTTTGTTTTTTTTGGGGGGGGTTGTTTGGGTTTGTTTTTTTCCAGTACCCGGAATCAAACTCACAACCTTGCGCTTGCCAGGCAGGCGCTGTGCCACTGAGCTAAATCCCCAGCCCCACTGGTGTGGTTTATATCTGGATGTTCTCACAGCCCCATGTGATCAGAGCTGAGACCTGTGGAAGGTCCCAGACTGGAAGGGCTTTGGAGCTCACTTGCTGGATGGGGTGTGGCCCGGAAGTACCTGTCTCCCTTCACTCCACCTCTGCTTCCTGTCCACCTCGAGGTGAGCAGATATTCTGCTGTGCTGGAGCCGGGAGTATGGACTGTAACATGAGTCAAAATAAACTTCTCCTTTCAGTTCCAGGTGTTGGGTACATTGTCCCAGCAATAAAGAACGTGACAATGTAACTACCTAAATACCTACTCTCTCTCACTGGCCCTCATATTCCTCTGAAAAGAAAATCTCTTCATTATGCAGATGAGAAAAGCAGCCATGCATTAGGCATCTTAAAGATGATGCTAGGTCAGGACAAGAAAAGGATAAGGTGAGCTTGAACATCTTACTGTGCCAGAAAATAAGGAAGTGCTCAAGAAAGTGGTGGGGGACACATCTAGTAGAATGTTTCATGAGAAAAGATATTCACAAAGTTGCAAAATGTTTGCACAAATTTCTTAATCACAACAGGAAAAATAGTTACAGACTAGAGAAAAAAAGCACAGATGAAGTGATCAAAATTCACATCATCAACAAGAGGCCCCAGAGCCAGAAGTGGTGGCACATCCCAACACTTGGGAGGCTGAGATATAAGGATAGTTATGAGTTCGAGACCAGCCTGGACTACAAAGTGAGCTCAAGGCCAGCCTGAACTGCACAGCGAGACACTGTCTCAAAAAGACAAAAAGGGCCGGGATATAGCTCAGTGCACACAAGCACCTATGTGGCAAGCACAAGGTCCTGAGTTCAATTCCTGGTACAAAAGAAAAAAATAACAAGGGTCCCCAAGTACTCCAGATACCATCCCCTGAGCAAGGGAGTGTATGTAGTACTGCAGCCAAAAGTCCACTCCTGAATCTAATCATGAGGAGGCAGACAAGCCCAATACAAGGGACTTTTCAAAAAACAATTAGTTTACAGTCTTCAAAAATGTCAATGTACCTTGAGCAACTACTTTAACAGTAACAACATGTAATTTATTTTTTTATTTATTTTTTTTTTTTTAAAAAACAGGGTCTTGTTACGAAGTTCAGGCTGACCTTGAGCTCACTTTATAGTCCAGGCTAGTCTCGAACTTGCAACGATCCTCCTGCCTCAGCCTCCTGAGTGCTGGGATTACAGGCATAAGCCACCATGCCCAGCTGTAATGTATTAACTATTATTATTCTCCTATTATTTTGTTATGAAATTTTATCTTTTTTCCATAAATTTTTTTTTAAATGTCAATGTATAAACTAAGCATGGTGGCTTATGCCTGTAATCCCAGCACTTGGGAGGCTAGGGCAGGAGGACCTCCATAAGTTTGAGGCCAACCTGAACTACTTAGTGAGACATCTCAAAAAAATCAATGCATAAAAGACAAAGAAAGGCTAAGGAACTATTCCAAATTAAAGATCACTAGAAGTACACCTAGGAGCCAGATGCAGTGGCACACGCCTATAATCCCCGCACTTGGGAGGCTGAGGCAGGAGGACTGCCATGAGTTTGAGGCTAACCTGGGCTACAGAGTGAATCCAGGCCAGCCTGAACTACACTGTGAGACCCTGTCTCAAAAAAAAAAAAAAAAAAAAAAAAAAAAAAAAAGAACGCCTAAGAGCCAGAAATGTAGCTCTGAGTTTGAGTTTGTGCCTGAGGTTATGGGCTCAATCCCCGGTACCTCAAAAAACAGATAAGCAAGAGACAGCTAAATAAATGATACTGAACTAGATCCTGGGATGGAGGAGAAACTGTTATAAGACATAACTGGGGGCTGGGGGTATAGCTCAGTGGCACAGTGCCTGCCTGGCAAGCTAGAAATTCCGAGTTTGATTCCTGGTAGGAAAAAAAAAACCAAAAAAACATAATTGGGCCAGGCATAGTGGTGCATACCTGTAATCCCAGCACTTGGTAGCCTGAAGCAGGAGGATTGCTGTGAGTTTAAGGCCAGGGTGAACTCACAGTGACATCCTATCTCAAAAAAAAAAAAGGCATAATTGGGCCAGGTGTGGTGGCATACACCTGCAATCCCAGCACTCAGGAGGCTGAGGCAGGAAGAGTGCCAAGAGTTGAAGGCCAGCCTGGGCTACATAGTAAGTTCAAGGTCAGACTGAACTAATGAGATCCTGTCTCAAAAAAAAGACCAAAATTTTAAAAAGATATAATTAGGATAAATGCCAAATTGAGTTTGTACATCAAAAGTGTTCTAATACTGGGCTGGGGATATAGCTCAATGGCATAAGCACCTGCCTGGCAAGCGCAAGGTCATGAGTTAAATTCCTGGCACCAAAAAAAAAAGTGTTCTATAGTGTTAAATTCCCTGTGACTAATAGTACTGTGGTTATATAAAATAATACATTTTTTAAAGGAAATACACACTAAGCCAGGCATAATGGCATGCATCTATAATCCCAGCACCTGGGAACCTGGCCAGCTTAGGGATTTAGCAAGACCCTGTCTCAAAATAAAAAGTAAAAGCAGGGTAGGTGTCTAGGACTATAGCTCAGTGTCAAGGCCCTCCTAGATTTAATTTCTAGTGCTTTAAAAACCAAACAAGCAAAACACTACAACATTAAGGAGTAAATGGTCATGTGTATACAACCTACTCCACATGGTGTAGGAACAGGAAAAAAACAAACACAACATATATATACATAAAAAAGAAGAGAGATAATAAATGATAATTAAATGATAAAAACAGATGAATGTAGGAAGACAGCAATGGGAATTTTATGCACTAATCTTGTAACTTTTCCGTCAGTTGAGAAGTATTACAAAATAAACACAAAAATAGAGAAATGTCAAAAAGAACATAAGTCTACCAGGCATGGTGGTGCACACCTGTAACACCAGCACTTGGGTGGCTGAGGCAGGAGAACTGCTGTGAGTTTAAGCATAGCCTGAGATACAGAGTGAGACCCTGTCTCAAAAAAAAAAAAAAAGAGAGATGGACTCTGGGCCTTACGACAGTTTCAGTGCTCAATCCATTTCTACTTCCCTTCTTACTGGCACTTCTGCATGCAATATATTGAAAAATTCAACCCAAACAATTATTTTTTCTGACAAATGATATAGCACATCAATCAGAGGATATTCCAGAAAGGGCAGTTTAATAACTTTATACTGTGAACCAAATTATTGAACAGAGGATTTTAAACAACTGATTCAGAAAGAAATTATACTCACTTCTTTTGGAGTATGATTATCAGCAATTCTCTGACCTTCAAAGAGAAACCTGAGTGAATTCATTGGAACTCCCTAAAAAAGGTTAAAAAAAAAAGTGTTTGTATATATATATATAGAGAGAGAGAGAGAGACAGACAGAAAGACAGAGAGAGAGAGAGAGAGAGAGAGAGAATGCATATACATATCCTAGAAGACACAGACAGAACTCTGATAAACAGAAAAAGCAAGCCTTAACAGATACACAGAACATAACCCTACACAGCTACTTCTATCCTAATTACTACGGATTGAGTACCAACTACTTACCAAGCCATTCACTATTTATCAAAACACTTACCGTTAAAAAAAAAAAGAGACAAGAACAAAATACTAAGCATGTACTTTACACACACAATTATAAATGTTTTTTGCAAACAACTCCAGTGTTACTGATTCCTCTTACTTCACCACGAGGGAACTTGAGGCTTACAGAACATTTACAGAGGCCACACAGCTAAGAATGCTAAGTCAAACCTGTTTCCAAGCCCATGCCTCTCACCACTAGTTCATTCATTATTCCAAGCATGAAACAAAATCAGGGAGAAACTGATGAACATCCTCACCAGCACCTAATTACACAAGCAAAAGTGGTTTTAGCCAGGCATGCATAATCCCAGCACTGAGGAGGCTGAGGCAAGAAGACTGTCCCTGAGTTCAAAGCCAGGGGTACACAGTGAGTTCAAGGACAGCCTGAACTACACAGCAAGACCTTGTCTTTTTTAAAAAATAATTAATTAAAACTTTAAAAATATACAAGGGCTGAAGATACAGTTCAGTGCAAAGGCTCTGGGTTCAATCTCCAGTACTGCAAAGTAGAAAGGAAGAAAGAGAAGACGGAAAGAGGAAAAGAAAGTTTTGCTCAATACATACTATATTAAGACTTCACTGTGTTTAAATAATGTTCCAAAAACATTAAAGAAATTAAAACCTTTTCTCGATATATATATATTATTACATAAGTATGTAAGACCATGAAAACTTACCCTTCACTTAATTTAAATTTTTCCCAAAATTATATTACTTAATAAAATGGCTAACAAAGGTAAAATATTCTTTATAGGATTTTTTGAAAAAGAAATACCATCTGATAATGCAATCTAAAGAAGATTCTATAGAAAGTACAACAGTAACACACAAAGACGTAAGAAGATTCTATGGACTTGAGTAACAGCCTCACGGGAAATCAAGTGCCTAACAGGCCCAGAGCCCTGAGATCAATCCCTAGCATCAAGGAGAAAAGTTTTAATAGAAATTAATCTATAAAATAAAAATGGTAAAGTCATCCCAACACTGAATTTATACCTTTACGATTTCTCATGGGAAGTGTTGTAAGATCACATAAATTAAATTTTGGATTCCTTGTTCAATTCCTATCATTATATGTTAAGTGGAAAAAACTATCAAGCCTTTATGAATTAAATATAAAAAGTTTTTCTAAAGACTGAAAATCCCTGGGCATGGCAGAGCATCCTAAAATCCCAGGACTATGTGAGGCTGAGGCAGGAGGATTGTAAATTCCAGCCCACCCTGCGCAGCACAGCCAAAACCCAGTCTCAAAATAAAAAAGGCTGGGGATACAGTACAGCACAAAGGCCCTGGGTTCAATCCCCAGTATCACAAAAGGCAGGGAGGAGTAGGAGAAGGAGATATTTAATCTTTGCAACATATTTTTAAAAAACAAAAGAAAAATTGAGTGAGTCTGTACAATGCCTCCTTGCAGTTTTTTTGTTTTGTTTTGTTTTGTTTTGTTTTTGTCTTTTTGAGACAGGGTCTGGCTGTGCTGTTCAGGCTGGCCTTGAGCTCACTTTGTAGCCCAGGCTGGTCTTGAGCCCAGCCTCAGCGTCCCAAGTGCTGGGACTATAGGCATGCACCACCATGCCCGGCACGTTAATATCATGCAGCACACATCTCTTCGATGTTTTTATTTCCTTTATTTGTGTGCTACTAATTTCAACTGCATGTACTGAAAAAACACTAACAATAATAATAGTGGGATATATTTATTGAGCATTTTTAGGCATCATGTTAACAGCTTTCTGTAGGCTACTTCGTTTCATCTTCATAAAGTAAGCACTACAATTTTTTAGTAACAGGGACAAAAGGACAGAGGTTAAGCAACTTGCTCCAGATCACAAAGCCAGGTGGCAAGAGAGTCCAAATATGCACAAAGCAGGCTAAAAGGACGTTAACCTAGCAAACCAGCTCAAAGACCGTAAGCTTTAAGGATTCAGTATTAATAAATTAGACTTCTACATGTATCTTTTTTTTTTGTTACCAGGAATCAAACTCAGGACCTGACGCTTGCCAGGCAGGCACTGTGCCACTGAGCTAGATCCCTGGCCCCTTGATGGAATATGGAATAAATAAACTTAACAGAAATCTGTAGTACTATGTATAAAGACTAATATTAGCACTTAAATTTAACATACAGCTGAGCACTCACTTATAACTCTGAGTTACTTTTGAGCCAGTTGCACATCTTAGGAATTCAAACTTTGAAATGGCCCACAAGAAAGCAAATGATATTACACAGAATATAACAAGATTAGAATTCTTCTTCCTTGAGTTCCTAATGGTGAAAATAATAAAACAGGATCAATTTTCTGGTAGATTTCAAAAAAGAAAAATGTATGGCAAAGCATAGTATTTAATATGAGAATATACAAACCTGTCTTTGACAGTATGATTCTTTGAGCTTCTTGAGATGTGTTGTCATTTTCACTTTGAAGTGAATCTCACTGCTATCCTAAGGAGATAAAAGAAAAACAATTATCCCTCTATGCATAAATATTTGCTTTGCTTGAACTAAATTCTCTAATTACACACCTAACAAAACTAGAAACATAAACTTTATCACCTATATTTTTCTACCAAAATACTTTTTACCATTCTTAACAGGATTTTTTTTTTTGGTACCAGGAATCAAATGCATTTGCCAGGCAGGCATTGTGCCACTGAGCTACATCCCCGGCCCCTTAACAGGATTTTAAAAACACTCTATTCACTGGGCATAGTGGCACACACCTGCAATCCCAGCACTAGGGAGGCTGAAGCAGGAGGATTACCTTGAGTTCGAGGCCAGCCTGGGTTACACAGTGAATTCAAGGCCAGCCTGAACTACAGAGCTGGACTCTGTCAAATAACAAACAAAAACATTGCTCAAAGTTGCTTTATATCCATTACAAAAGAAATTAATAATAAACAAACATAATCTGTCTTAGGTGTTAAAATTATCAATGTGAGCAGAAGTATGTATGTCAAAGAATGCATTCCTTCACTACTGTATATCCATTCCCCTCTATCAAGAGGCACCACCACAACCATTTAAAAGCAACTCACAACAAAAAGTAACCCCAGCCAACTGAAGAGCCATTAAGGTAATCAAATCTAGGTGAGAGGTGGTACCACAAAATATGAGATAAGGAACTTTTGCATTAGTAAAACAAGTAAGAACTGAATCAGGGGCTGGGGATATAGCTCCGCGGGCACAAGCACCTGCCTGGCAAGCTCAAGGTCCTGAGTTTGATTCCTGGTACCAAAAAAAAAAAAACTAAAACTGAATCAGTCCAACAGATTCATGGGACAACAGACTCTTCTCTCACCTAGACTGCCAAGCAACCACTGAGAAAAGATTGGCATTGAACACTGTAAAATCTCCAAGCTAACCCTTATGAATGTATTTCACATTCCCAAATATATATTACATGTTTCATACTTGGCATATTCTTTGGGGGGAGGGTTGAGACAGGGTCTTGCAATGTAGTTCACACTGGCCTCCAATTCACTCCAATTCACTATGTAGCCCAGGCTGGTCTCAAACACATGGTGATCCTCCTGCCTCAGCCTCCGGAGTGCTGAGATTTCAGGCGGGTGCCACCATGCCCAGCTCAGGATATTCTTGTTTGTGAATGTAAGTATGAAGAAAACTTTCTCTTTCCATGGAATAATAAACAGGTAAAATTTCTATAGCATACATCATATAATACACATTAAAATTACTTGGAGATGAATTAAAATAGCGAACAATGTTTTTTCTTTTAATATTTTCTTCTCTTTTTAAGAGAAAAAATTTTCTCCTACTCTTAGGATTAGGAGGCCCTTAAAAGCAAATTTTGACCCTATTCTTTAAAAGATGAATAAATTTGACTTAAAAGCATAAACCACCCAAATAGCAAGACACCTTAAGACATACCAGAGGAAATACTCGTAACGCATATAACAGACCAATATAAAGAACCACTACAAATTAATAATTTTTAAAAAGTAATCCACAGAGATTACATATAGATACATAGAGGATAGGAAACTGACAACCTAAAAGCCCATGTTACCTACATTCAACTAATTCTTCCTAAATATCAGTCTAGGGCACCATACCCAAACAAAAATTGCTTAACATGATGAAAAACAAAAATGCAGGAGCTAAAACTATATAATCCATTCAGGAAACCACAGATGCAAATCTTTGTCACCCTGGGTTAGGCAACTTAGTTATGACAGCAAAATCACAAACAAAAGAAGAAGTAAGTTTAATTCATCAAAAGTAAAAGCTGTATGGCCCAAAAGACACAACCAAGAAAGTGAAAAGACAACCTCCCACCAAAATTTGCAAATCACGTAAATGACAGGGGCCTACCATGCAGAATATATATATTAAGAACTATTACAGAAGGCTGCGGATATAGCTCAGTAGCACAAGCACCTGCTTGGCAAGTGCAAGGTCCTGAGTTCAATTCCCAGTACTAAAAAATAAAAAGAATTTATTACAACAATAAAAAAGACAACCCAACTTAAAAATAGGTAAAAGATCTGAATAGGTATTTTTCCAAAGAAAATGTACACATGGACAATAAATACATTTTAAAATACTCAACATCAGGCCTGGGGGTTTAGTTCAGTGGCACAGTACCCACCTGGCAAGTGTGAGGTCCTAAGTTCGATTTCTAGTACCCTCCCCGCCAAAATATAAAATAAAATAAAATAAAATAAAATAAAAGTGCTCAACACCATAGTTGTCAGAAAAATGCAATAAAAACCACAGTGAAGCCAGGTATGGTGGTACACACCTGTAATCCCAGCACCTGGGAGGCTGAGGCAGGAGGATCACCGTGCGTTCAAGGCCAGCCTGGGCTACACAGTGAATCCAGGCCAGCCTGAACTACATAGCGAGACCCTGTCTCAAAAAACAAAACAAAAACAAACAAAACCACAATGAGATACCATTTCATACTCACTACAATGACTATAATAAAAAAGACGGATTAAAAGTACTGACCAAAAGAATATGGAGAATTGCCAAGGGGAATGTAAAGAGCTACAGACCCTGCTGAAAACAAGTTTGGCAGTTCCTCAGGAAGTTAAATATATAGTCACAACAGTAGACCCAGCAATTTTATTCCTAGGAAACCAAAAACTTATGTCCACACAAAAACATATATGAATGTTCACATTATTAATAGCCACAATAGGGAAATAAAGTGTCATCAATTAATAAATGAGTAACAAATGCCTTCTATTCACACAGTGGAATATTGATCAGTCATGAAAAAGGAATGGGGTGCTAATATACGCTACAGTATGGATGAACTTTGAAAACATGCTAATAAAAGAAGCCAGACACAAAAGCCCACATATTCATTTATACACAACATCCAGAATGGGTAAATTCAGAGACAGAAAAAGCAGAAGAGCGGTTGCCAGGAGCTAGGGGAAGAGTGGGTGGGGAGTGGATGGACACAAGGTCTCTCTGGAGGTGATGAAATCTTCTTGGAATTAGACAGCAGTGAGGACTGTACAACCTTGTGAATATAACAAAGCCACTGAATTCTATTTTAAAGTGGTACATTTAAGAAGCCGGAGGTTTAGCTCAGTGCTGCAACAAATGCCTGACAAATAAGAGGTCCTGAGTTCAATTCCCAGTATCCTCTATTCCACTAAATAAATAAATAAAGTGGTGCATTTGAGCTGAGGGTGGTGGCACACGCCTCTAATTTCAGCCTTGCATAGGCTGAGGTAGGAGGACTGCTGGTCAGTTTGTACTACACAGTAGTGAGTTCCATACTAGCCTGAGCTAGTCAGTAAGATCCTATTAAAAAAAAAAAAAAAAAAAGCTGGGCATGGTACTACACACCTATAATCCCAGCAGCACTGTGGAGGCTGAGGCAGGAGGATCACCTCAAGTTCAAGGCCAGCCTGTGCTACACTGTGAATTCAAGGCCAGTCAGAACTACACAGAGGTCCTATATCCAAAAAAAAACAGAACAGAAAAGTGGTGCATTTGATGGTTATTGTTCACTGTCTCTTCTTAAAAAGTTTTTCAAAATAAGACAATGACAGATTAATGGGAAAAGGATATGAATACACAATTACTGTTAGACTACAAACATAGAAGACAAAAATTACATGTTATTCTGCCTAGTAAGTGTCAAATCCTACATTCAATTACCGGTACAAAAAAAAAAAACCCTACATGTTATTAATAATCACAGAAATGCAAAATAAACAAAACGTTTTATCTATGATATAGGCACAAAATTAAAGACTGGTACCCCCCCATGTCTAGGGGAAGTGGGGAGCTCGTACTTGTGGGCTTTGATGGAGCAAGACCAACGTCCCACTACTGTAATTCTTTCATACTTAAAAAACTGTGATGGCTCATTCCTCCAACAGTCTTCAGCTTACCTTAAGTCACACGTCAGAAAGAGTCAGCAAGAAACAGAGGATTGTCTCTAGGGGACATAGACTGGAGATGGAAGGAGAAG